GTCAACAGCTTTATAAAGCACATTTTTACCACGAGTTTGTGATCCAAGGAGGTGGCGCAATTCTACAATTAGTTATCTACCTTAAATATATCGATATGGAAAGATTATTTTGTATAGTAGTTTGGACATCTCCAACCCCACTCTAAAATCTTCTCCAAAATGAGTTTTAGAGTAAAGTTATCTCCAACCCCACTTCAAATCCCACTCCAAAATAAAGTAAAAGGTAGGTTTACTCCAAATATAGAGTAATCTCATTTATTACTCTATTTTTTTGTTTTTCACTCTATTTTTTACTCCAAAATAGAGTAGGGTTGGAGTAAAACACAACTCTATTATAAAATCACTCTATTTTAGAGTAAAAAATGGAGTTTTGGGTTGGAGAAAGTCTTAGTATAAGAATCCACTTTCAAATAATCACAACTCTCGATTTCATCCCGCGACTCCACTTAACTTAAACCAAACATCATCATCATCATATTTAAAGATTACTTCTTCACCTAATGGTTTTCTATTGTAATTAGTTGTTGTGGTATTAATGGTTCGTACATTGATTAAGAAAATCATCTTCAATGACGTGGCATATGATAATTGGACAAGCAAAAAGCTATCGAAATAAAAAAAAACTTTTTGTTAGTTTCTTAACTAACTAACCTCTTTGTTGTCGTTGACAGATGATCCGTCACTGACATGTGACCCTACACAATCCCCACTCATCATAACTACTCTGTTTCTTGATGACTGAGTCACCTCCGAGTTCGTGAACAACTCGCTACTGAAACTCGACGACTCACCGGCGGCGTTTGAAAACATCGTCTCACCGGAAAATGAATCCGTCGGTGAAATGTAAGAATCTTCTTGACTCTCTTGGAGAAGATCCCCGAATGATCTCCACCGTTGGATCTCTTCTTTTTCTTCTTCACAATCTTCAACTTTCCGTCTGGTCTCTCCGTTCCCTTCACGGCGTAAAAGTTTCTTCCAGAAGCTTCTCGCGAAAAGCCGTTTCTTATTCTCTGTTTTTCCATAGAAAGGTTTAACGGAGGAAGGGAACGGCAAGAGTTTAACGGCGTTAAGTAACGCCGTCGAAGCTTTCTGAACGGCGTGAGTAATCGCCAAGCCGCAAGTTAGACGGCGATTGTAGTTGAACGTTACTGACCGTTTGATCTCGGCCTTTAGAAGAAGATGAACGGTGGAGGAATTTTGACGGCGAGGGAATGATTTGAAGCCGTTGGATGAGCAAGAACTGAGATCATCGAGAAGATAATCTCTCAAAAGCAATGGCTTTAGTCGTCTCTTGCTTATAGACGCCATTGGAGAATCAATGGAAGAAAGAACATGTGAATCTGAAGATGTAT